ATAGTCCCAACAGAGTAGAGGGAGTAAGAGAGAAGAGAAACAGAGTTAATGGCTGACCGCCATGGCCGGTCACCATAGAGAGAGAGAAGAGAAGCAGAAGCAAATAGAGAGAGAGAGCAAAGAAGAAGCAGAGAGAGAGCGAAGCAGGGAAGTTGGAACTTTTAAAGGGAAGACTGAGATTCCATGCATGCCCAGAGACCTCACACAGGCTGTAAATGCATGGTGGGTGATGTGGTGATGGCACGTCCCTGTGCGTGCCCTGACTGTTGTCAGGGGGTGGGGTCTTTCTCTTAAAGAGGTGGAGCCAATCAGCATTAAAGCCTGAACCTTTCAGGTGCCTCCCACACAAGTGTTCTGTGATACTGATTAAGTTAAGACCCTCTAAGGAAAATGTGTCTTCTTATAGTCACTCTTGATTTACAGTGGTTACCAGGGTCTCTTCTGTACATTGCAAGAGTAAGAGGCTGTAGTCTAGACTACATATATTCCAGTTCTAGGTCTGTATTTTACTTGCAGAGCAACTTTGAAAGAATTACTTAACATCTTTCTGAGTCTCTGCTTGTTTGGTTGTAAAATTGGTAGAATAAATGATTCTACTCAATGGGTAGTTTTGTGAGACTCCAGTGCAAGTTTTTCTGTAAAGCTTTTAGAAGTGCAGCAAGCATGTGATACATACCCCCTTTCTCTTTCTAGATGGCAGCATTTCTGGGTTTAATGGCTGCTGTTGTGACTATTGTTACTAGTAGCTACCGAAATATTTTACTTTCAGTGGGATTAGATATCAAATTCCAAACAATACTGAAATCACATTATGAAAACGAAGGCAGTGAATTTGGCTAGCTTCATGATGACTCCAGGAAAATTTACTGCTGGATATGAGAGGTACTGCAAGAAGCAGTCACATTAGATTATACTGAAAGGACCAGCTCCCCATTTCGGCAGCCATAACAGTCGAACATGTGCTTGTCTGACTTTGTCTTAGCCACTAGGAGGTCAGCCAATCAGAAGTTAGCTGGTGGTGCTATGCTTTATGGCTCTGGGTGTGCTTTATGGACAAGTGCACAGCAATGACCCGCAGAGCATAGCAACCACCCTGGGAGGGCCTATGGGCCATAACAACCAGTTGACCAATCAACACAGGGCAAGCCCTCCAAGCCTGAAGGCACACCAATCCTGAGCCTGTGCGTACCCCTAGACACTCCCCTTATGCTGCCCTATAAGATCTCTATGCAGTCGCTTAGAGCTGTCTTTTCTAGCCATCTGCCATGGTGGATGGATGAAAGGCCTGAGCTAACATGGGGTTAGCTCATTAAACAACCACAATAAAGCCTCGTGCTGTTTGCATCAAGCTTTCGATTCTGCCTGATGATTTGGGTGGCCGAGGTCCTGGGCTGAGATCCTGGAGGTCTGAGCTTCTGGGGGGGTCTTACAATACTTTTCCTTTTCCTTGGTTATTTTCTACCACTCATCATCTGAATTCATTGCTGGTCATTTTTGGGGTGATGGCATATGGCCACATTACTCCCCAAATGCCACAATTCACAATGCATGGACAGTGATAGGGATGAGCATCAATAGTGCTTTAGTCTGCATTCAGAATGTTTCAAGGTCCTTCTGGTCTCCTGCATGATGTACCCCTGTTGATAAGATTGGATTATGAGAATTTTGGATAACCCACTGTTATAGACATCTATTTAAAATGCTGACTATTTACTACTGTTCTCTCAAATCTTCCCTTTCTTTTGTCGTTTCAAGTCTAGCTCATGAAATTGTGTGGTTTGGGCAGGCGTGTATGTAGAGATATGAATACTAGGAGTGAATCGATAGTCCATAGCAATACTCCTTAAAAAGAAAACCCTTCAAATATTGCAATACTACACAATTTCCTGTAGTCTGTGTTTAATGTCTTTAATATTAGTCCTTTGGAATGCTGCAGCTAAAAATGGTTGATTAGCTATGATTAATTGAGACTGTTCTGTTAAACCTTACCCATGACTCTGGTTGAAGTAGTAGGGAAAAGGTTTATTTTGGAAACAGACCCTAAAGTCGACTCCATTTCTGCTTAATTTTCTCAGGAGAAAAGAAAGAAGAGCACATGTAAGATCGATTTGCAGATTCAAGAAAGCCAATTGTGAGGGAAAGCAAGAGAAACCAGCCATGGTCTCCTTAGAGAGGTGCTAAACTATTGCTGGATTTTGTAAGCACTAGCATGCTACCATAACCTCTGAATTCTGAAGATGGTATATGAGGTTTTTATTTTTTGTCAGTATGTCCACGTGCATTGATTATAAACAGAAAAAAAAACCAACCTTTTTGTACAATCAGTGCCAAAAGAATAGGTTTTTACAATGTGTGGGAGAGAGGAGAAAAAAGGGGAGATACAGAGAGAAGAGAAAGCAATTCCTGTTCGCCAAGGGACAGAGAAAAGCAAGGTAAGACATAAGGAAGAATTTCATTAAGTTAGAAAGTAAATGTATTTTACTTGGTTGCCCCCCATTTTCTTTATGATGTTAGTTTTTAAGAACTGACTAAGCGGGGCATTGGTGGTGCACACCTTTAATCCCAGCACTCGAGGCAGAGGCAGGCAGACCTCTGTGATTTCGAGGTCAGCCTGGTCTACAGAGTGAGTTCCAGGACAACCTCCAAAGCAATACAGAGCTTTCATTATAAACCTGCCCTAAAATTAATAGCTACCAGAGACTGTCCAAAAATACATTGGTGAGATTGCAATTTCAACGAAGATGTCCATCTTATTTCTTGCCATATCTTTAGTAACTAGCATCTAGTCAGTAGGTGCTTGGTAAATATTTGTCACCTTAGAATGAAGGAAAACTTTTAAAACCAATTTCCTCTGCTGAGAAAATTTAAAGAGCACTAAGGAAGTTTTGAATTATGCAAGCAATTCATTTCTGTTCTTGACAGAAATGGGAAAATAGTGAAGGAAATTACATCCTCTTTCAACAGTAGACTTACCATCACCATCCAGAGGTGTTTGTTTTATTGACTAACTCCTAATTACTGACTGCCAAACTAATGCTCTGCGAATCCCAAGCTTATGTGAGTGCTGCTGTAGTCTTTCAGTGTGAACCTTTTTGGTCCAGCTTATTTGAACTTAAAGTATTCTGAAGTTTGAAAAGCTTTATTTATAGAATACATACACAGTCTTGAGTCTGAGAGCTCAGATCTGTAAGTCTAGGTATGTAGGAGTCTGGCACTGGAAGACTACAATATCAAAACATGCATGGGCTACAGAGTGAATCCATCTCAGACTGGGAAATGTAGTGAGATCATGCCTCAAAACAATAAGTTACAGCGGGGTCAGGATATACATTAATGGCAAAGAACTCACTCAACTATCATGTGTGAGACTCCAGGTTGATCTCCAATACTATGAAGTCAATCAATCAACTTAAAAAAATAAAACACAGATAGTTCAGAAACAGCCAAATGAGTCTCTAGACTGAAAACTGCAAGCACTGTGTTTGGAATATGACCCACATTTTTCCTTCCTCCTCCTTTAATAACCATGCACCAGGATATTGCCTGCTAATGTCTCAATTAAAAAAAAAGATTTTTGTTTTGTTTTATCTTAACCCCCACCCCATGTGTACACCTATGAATACAGGCAAGTGCAGAATCCAGAAATGGACATTGGTTTTCCTGGAGCCGGAGTTACTGGGAGCTGGTAACTGAACAGAAGTTCTGTGGAAGAGCACTCCACAGTGCTGTCTGTCTAGCCCCAGTGTCTTTCTTTTGAAGTATTTGCATTTGATAGCCTAGAAGTCAGTTCAGGGTTATATTAAGGTTGCCTTTAGATGATGTGGATAGTTGGTTCCACGTATCAAATTGCAGTAAAATTTGCAGTGATGGATTTGTTCTATCTTCTATTAAAGCTTAGGTTACCTTTATAATCTCAGAAACTCTAGGCTGAGCTTAGTAGCGCAAGTCTTTAATACCAGCTCTTGGGAGGCAGAGGCAGGATACCTGTAAGTCCAAGCCTGGTATACATAGTGAGTCCCAGAATGGCCAGGGATACATAGAGAGACCCTGTTTCAAAAAAAAAAAAAAATCTGTGCTGATCTTCAGAGAAATACAATAGGAGTATAATTAAAGGCTTACTTTACTTCCACATTTTATTGTTACAATATTAAACTGGAATTTGAACAGCATTGCTTCACCAAGATTAAACATACTAAAATAAAAGATAAACAATATATTTCACTGAAATAATTTTCTTTGTAGTGAATGTCTCATCCGATAGGCTCATGAGGATTTTGGGTGAAATTCCTTGTCTCAGCTAAAATCTTTCAGTAGCTCTTCCTAATCCTGAATCACTGATGCCTCTCTAGTTAATATGCATTGGCAATTCAGTTTACTCTAGCAGTGCCGCTAATTTATTAACAGTTACAAACAAGGGGTTAGAGAAGTGGCTTAGCAGTTAAGAGCGTTTGTTGCTTTTGCACCACATCTAGGTTTAATTCCCAACACCTGCATGGCAGCTCAAAACCATCTGTAATTTCAGCTCTAAGGAATCTGATACCCTTTTCGGAGCTCCAAGGGCACCAAGAATCCACAACACACACACACACACACACACACACACACACACACACACGATGCAAGCCGAACATTCATACACATAGAATAAAATAAGTAAATTTAAAATACTAAAAGACAAACTATAGCATTACCAAAAAAGTTCAATTTCAACTACTTTTGGCATAGAATTTTTATTTTATTTTATTTTATTTTTTGGATTTTTGAGACAGGGTTTCTTCTGTGGCTTTGGAGGCTGTCCTGGAACTAGCTCTTGTAGACCAGGCTAGTCTCGAACTCGTAGAGATCTGCCTGCCTCTGCCTCCCAAGTGCTGGGACTAAAGGCATGCACCACCGCCCGTCAGATTTTTATTTTAATGATTTTTCAACTTTACATTTGCGTTATTCAATATTTGCAGGTCATGATGGGCCAAGTGGTGGATATCCAGGACCCAGCAGTAAGGTCATCGTAATCTCTGAGCCTCTCTTTCTGATTCCAACAGGGTGAGCACATCACCCTCCAGAATAGGGCCTTTGATGTTTCGAATGATAGAGCTGCTGGTGTCAACCATAAATTCCACGCGTGTCTGTGTGCACTGTCCCTGCAAACCGGTCCTGACCAGCACCTTGGTTACCCTAGCCAGCTTGATATGCTTCACACGACTCCTGTCCATGATGGCGGCGATCTGGCGGAGACGGCTCAACTTTACATTTTGAACATCTATTGTATTTGCCCAAAGATTGGTCCATACATACAATTCCTGACTTGGAAAATCTATACAATCACAAAAAAGAATTAATCAGCAAGATTGTACAAGTATAATTCATATCCTGCATTCCTTATCGGGATCCACCGGGGTTAATGTTGCTTCACCAAAGTCTGTCTGTTGCTGTGGTCCCCACACTGCAGAAGAGAGCTCAGCTAAACAATGCACTGCCATCATGGGCACTTTGTGTTTCAAAGAGACAAGAGAGCATGTGTTGCTGAAAATTTCATGGTATGAAGAAGATGCCAAGACCAAAATGTATTATTTTTGAAATGACATGTAAACAGAGTTTAATATATTTCTTTTTTAACTAGGGACAGTTCATGTTCAAAGATTGGCAGACTTGGAATGCTGGGAGACAATCTTAACATTTTCTTCTAACTTGCTTCCCAATGTTGCTTTGTGTGTGTGCGCGTGTGAATGTGTGTGTGTGTGTGTGTGTGTGTGTGTGTGTGTGTGTGTGTATGTGTGTCCATATGTATGGATGCTTTTATTGTTGAAAACATCATACTCATTACAACATATGTCTAATCTTATTTCATCCAAAGCACCACCCACTACACCCTTGCGCCATAATTTTGAATCAAATACCAGACATACTATGAAATTTACCTCCGTGAAATGTTTGCTAGGGGCCACTTACTTTCTTCATCTCTCTGCCAGACTGCATTACACCAAGAAATTCTCACTTTACAATTGTCTTGGAATGTGTTATGACTTTGAGTGGCTTTAGTTATAACATATATTTTCTCCTCTAAACTTTATGTTTCTTGGGAGGGGGGTCTAATTTTCTTGTTACACAATTCCCTGCATTTCTCTGAATGCTTGGCTCTAATTGAATTCCTCATAAATAACCACTGAACCAATTAAGCAAGGAGAATTTCTATAAAAACATCCCATGTCTGTTATTATAAATCTTTCTGCCAAAAGCCGCCTGAGCCCCACCACCACGTGTGAGCTTTACGCCAGCCGCCAGCCTGAGTTAGGCCCAAATGAATACACAGATAATTGTATTAGGTTCAAAGCTGCTTGGCCAATGACTAGGATTCCTCATCTGCTAGCTTAGTCTTAATTATCATAAATCTGTATATTTTATAAGACTTATCTTATTGGACACCTTATTGGCGTCCCTCCTTGCCGGTGGATCACATCGCTCCGCTGGAGGAAGAGAGGAAGGGAAAAGAGACCCTTCCTGTTTCTCCTTCTTTAAATATGAGTCTCCTTGCCATGTCACTTCCTGCTTGGATCACCACTTCTCTACTACATTTCCCAGAATCCTCTTTGACTCCTAGTCCTGCCTAACTTGCTGTCTCATTGGCCAAACAGTATTTTATTTAACAATCAATAAGATAAACATACACAGTACATTCTCCATCACATGTCTCTTGCTGCTTTTTTTTTTTTTGCCATTTTTCATGATCTTTTGATTGACACAGATTTTCTGCAGCTACATCCTGTGTTTGGGGCCTTTAATCTTTTGGCTGATCCCATTCCTCTTCCTAAATAGCTACTTTGTATCTTCAGGTCTGTGGAACAGTTCTGCATCTTAAAAAAAAAAAAAAAGAATGCTTAAATACAGTTCATAAGTAAGGTTTCTCTTCTTTTTAATAAGTATAATGTATAGCTTATCAGACTAATTCTTCACTGGGTATACAAAATTGCTATTGAAAGTGGCCTTTGGAAGGTATTACATATGAAAATATTTATCATATCATCAACAATGTTTCAAATGAATGGAAAATAAGTAACTAGAGGACTGATGGATCATCTTAATGAAACTGGTGGCCAAACACTTATTTTACTTTAGTTTTTTCCTTCCTTCTTTTTTAGTTTTTGTGCTGATGATCAAACCCAGAGCTGTGCATAAGCTAAGGAAGCTCTCTACTGAGATACAGGCCCAACTCCCTGGCTTTAGTTTCTTAATTTCAATGATTTATTCTATCAAGTGAATGTAGTTTGTTATTCTATTTACATAAACACTTTAGACTTTTTAATTTCTATTTGAATAATAAAATTTTATCCTAACTTTCAGAAAGACTAATTCTTTCTTAGGAAATGTTTCTTAGAATTATTTTATAATTTTTTAAATTTATTTTTATTTTTTAAATAAATTTTTACTTAAATTACAAACCATCATATTTTACATACCAATCCCAGTTCCTTCTCCCTCCTGTCCTCCCATGTCCCCCACCAAACTCCATTCCATTCCCCCATACACTCCCCAGGGAGGGTGAGTCCTCCCATGGGGGAATCATCAAAGTCTATCACATAATTTGGGGCAGGACCTAGGCCCTTCCTGTTGTACCTAGGTTCAAAGAGTATCCCTCCATAGGTAATGGGCTCCTAAGTCCCATTCATGCACTAGGGATAAATACTGGTTCCACTGCCAGAGGCCCCATAGACTGCCCAAGCCCCCCAAATGACACCCACGTTCAGGGGGCCTGGTTTGGTCCTATGCTGTTTTCCCAACTGTCAGACTGGGGTCTGTGAACTTGTTGTTCAGGTCATCTGTTTCTGTGGGTTTCTTCAGCATGGTCTTGACATCTTTGCTTATCACTCCTTCCTCTCTACAACTGGATTCCAGGAGTTCAGCTCAGTGCTTAGCCGTGGATTGTAATGATAAGTCTTTTCACTGAAGCCACCTGCTGCCATATGGGTGCTTTCCGCCAGGCTGCTTGAGTTCCACCTGTTGCCACGTTAAGGTTCCAAGTAACACACAAAGACTTATATTAGGTACAAATGCTGCTTGGCCAACTGACTAGGATTTCTTACTTGCTAGCTCAGTCTTGAGTATCAACCATAAAGACTTATCTTATCAGACGCCAGCTGCTGGTGTCTTCTCTTGCTGGAATCACATGGCAACTCTGGAGCAGAGAGCAGGAGGAAGAGAAAAAGGAATGACTTCCTTCTTGCCCTTGCTTATATATAAGTTTGCCTGATATGTCACTTCTTGCCTGTATCACAAGATTTCCTTTTACTACATTTCCCAGAATCCTCCTTGACTCCTAGTCCTGCCTAATTTGCTTCTTCATTGGCCAATAGTACTTTATTCAACAACCAATAAGATAAACATATACAGAGAAGGACATTCTCCATCAGTGGATCTCTGCTTCTGCTTCCATTAGCTACTTGGTGAAGGCTCTATGATGGCATTTGAGGTAGTCATCAATCTCACTACAGGGGAAGGGCATTTAAGGTAGCCTCTCCACCATTGCTTAGATTCTTAGTTGGGGGTCATTCTTGTAGATCTCTGGGAATTTCCCTAATGCCAGATTCTATGAAATTATTCTTAGAATTATTTTATAATTGCTTAAGAACAAGTATATTGATGACAGAAGAGCTAGAATAAATAAAGAGCTAACTAACAATAAATATCCATTAGGTTTTCCTCCTTTGAAATATCATGTAGCACCAGATTCTTTGTAACTTATGCATGCCTACAACAATTAATTATTACTTTGTACAAGACACCTAATGATGGTGTCACTGAGAAGGAGGCAATGTCCAAACAGAAACGAGAAAATAAATGGAAGTTAGACCCACACCGTTAAATGTTCCTCACAACAGTTAAATGGCTGATTTGAGACTTTCATGTGTTTATTGATAGGACCAGGTTCTTACTTTGGATATCTCTTTGGCTTTCATGCCACCTAATTCTTCCTTTTATGAAAAAGCTTGCCCCTGTCACCTCTTGGCAAAAGCTTTTTGTTCCTTTAAGATAAAAGTATTTTTCTTAAAAATAACAGAATAATAGCCATTTTAAATAGTGTACTTATGAAATCTGTCTGCACTAACTGAATGGGAAATTAAACATTATTTATGATGGCATCACCCTGTATCAGACTATATAATGAACACATTAAGTCATATTTCCCTGACCGAAAAACACTTTTTTCTAGTTATTGCATCCTATTGAATTAATACTTGCAGAAGTCTTCAGCATTTGAAAGAAATAATTTGCATACAATGTCATTTCTAATTTTTAGTCAAACTGGGTATTTCAAAGGGCTTTTAGATACTACTATTGACTAGGGTGGAAATTGATAATCTCTATAATTCAAGCACTTCCCTTGCTTAATATGGTATGTGCACAGTGACTACAGTTCAGAAAATGCCAGGTGAAGTGAGAATTTCGATCACTTCTTAATGCATTGTTGGCAGGTAGATGTGGAACATAGTTACTGTAGCAATTTTGTGACATGTGTGAAGTTGCTTTAAAATTCTGATTATCTTTACATTGTCACCTACACAGCTTAAGACTTTCATTAAGGGAGAAAGTCTAATCCAAACTTTTAAACTTATTTGTAATAGATGCATTTCAGCATTCAAGAATCTGACCAAATTAAATTAAAGATACAGCACCATCTTATGGATATTTCTATATTTGTAAAATTTGGAAATCCAAAACTCATTTTGTGTTGGGAATAGAAAAGGGTTAGTGTTGATGGAAGTGTTGTGGTAGGAGCCCCCCCTGAGGCAGTGCAGTAGCATGACACAGTGAGTAAGGCATGTGCTTGTGTATGTGTGTACATGTGTGTACATGTCATGCTGTTGTTTTGGTATGTTTAGGAATACACAGAAACTACAATTATTTTTCTCTTGGAAATTAAGCATTTTACCAAGAAATGAAAAACAACAGTTATTACAATACAGATGGGTAAGTTTGTGCAATCACCGGCCCAGAATCCTGCCAGCCTCCAAAGGACACTGGGACATTACTGTCTGTCACCTGTCTAGAATGCTGTAAAGGTAGAGGAGAACTGCAGAATAGAAATGTTTGCACAGCCATGAACCACAGTGCTGAGAAATTGAGATATGACCATAAAACTATTCAACTTAAACTGTGTAACCAATGATAAAGTCTCCTTATGCTTATCTAGCATTTAATATCTTCATAAATGATTTAT